GTACAGATTCAAAGAAACCCGATGAGTAGAGTCAGCCAAGTGAAGTACTTAGGTATCACACTTGAAAGTAACCTTTGCTGGTCCTTACATACCCATACCGTTGCTCGCAATTTGAAAGTTCTCACTTTTCAGCTAAGAAGACTGCGCCACTTCTGTTCTAGTTTGTCGGTGATGGACACTTTTGTTCAACAATGTGTTCTCCCTATGACCCTTCACTGCTCCCTCGTGATTTTCCCTGGTTTGCTGAAGGCTGACCTGAAGTTGCTGAGGCGTGGCCTCTTAAGGATCAGTTGTCTTCCAAATTCCTTGATCTGTTCTCATTGGCAAGACGTGTAATTCCCATATTAACCAGTGCTTGAAATTTACTGACAATATCTTATGTGATTGCACTCATCCTTTATACATTGACCTGTGTACAAGCAAATCCTACCCACCCCACCCGTTTCAAGTGCAAACTTATCTCGTCTCGTATAGTTGCATACGGAAACTCAATGATATCCTATCTTCCCCGGATACTGACCGACAAGGAAAGTGTTCGTCCTGAGCTTTCTAATGCACTTAGTAATTAACTCATTTTTGTACGTTTTACGTCCCACTTTTTCACATATCTTTTTTTACCAGAAGTGGTCTATTTTTGGCTGAAAGCTTGTATATAACTCGCTAAAGCCTCAATACAATACAATACAATATATATCTAACGATCGATGACTTTCATTTCTTGTTTCAAAGCACAATACATGCGGAATCAGCAAGCAGTAAAACTCTCAAGTGTTTACAGAAAAAGATTGGCTTGATGAAAGATGCACCGGTTTCGGTCCTAACACTCATGACTACCACCATGCGATTCAAATAGTATGGATAAAGATTGAGAGGAAAAGTTGGTTCGGTTGGACAGGCTGTTCCTCTATCTGTTAGATTTCACGGCTCATCTTGTGTGACCAGTCCCTGGATCTCGGTGACTCCTCGAACTTTCATTTCCCTAGTGGCATGTTCCAGGTTGCCACAAGCAGAATTAGACCTTCAAGCTGTTCTTACAATACTCATTTGTTGCTTTTCTTTTCTCTCAACAATTCATTTGCAACATATTTATTCGCCTGAACGATTGATCTCTATTTGCGCAAACTCTGTAACATGATTAACATCTCACTAATAAATGACGGACTACATCCCATTGCTGTAGTATCTTTTTTGTTCTGCAAACGATCTACACATTTTGTTCTTAGCTTCATCGGCATTTAGGCAAATAAGCAATGTTCTTGCCGATCCCGGGCATTATCACTGCATCAACGAATTGCGATAGACACGATCAGATTCGGATTGTTCAAGTCTGTCAGTTTTGAAGCACGTGACTTTGACAGCTGGTCTTTTGTATCGCGTAGGCCATATCTACTTCATTGGAAACGGATTCCTGATTGGCATAAATCCGATCACAATATCCGTGTTCATCAGTCTGAACAATGAAATGTTTACTTGTCATATCTCTCGATGCCCGCGATCCCACCAGCACAAGACCTCGAAACGTCAGGGTTGCAATGTTCACAAGGGTAGCAACCAAATTGGGAACAAACATGTATCGAATCGAGCAAGGCTGTCTGCTCAATTGTTCCAAATAAAACCACCGTGTCTGCTCTACAATCATTGACATATACACATGACCCATCAGGTCAACTGTACCGAAATGGTGTGGTCTCTCCCAGCACAAACACACAAACATTACAGCATAAACGATAAATTTGACCAAACCAGGTGAATATTGTCAAAAGGGGAACTTCATCGGGTTTCCGTCGAAACGAATTCTGTCGTCACGCGCCAAACTTTGACCCTTCCACATGGTATGATAAAACACGATATGGTAAACAACCAGCAGCAATATATTGTAACTGAATCAAACTTTCTGAGCACTTTGTTCTTCCCACACACCATCAGTGAAAATACTTGAGTTCATCATACAATAACATGCATTACAAATAAAAACGAAATCCCTGTGGGAACTATGAACACTTCAAAGCGCCTCACTCGGCAGCATCCTCGACATGCAAGATACAGTTAGTCGGGTCAAAATAAAGGACTGATGACTCCGCTTAGTCCATACACAACTTCAATGCACAAATCGTATTTAATCAAGTTAGTCCAATTAATGAAACTGGATAATTGCCACAAATACGCGCAGGCCAAATAAACTGTCGCCCACGACCACGACTTGTTTTCAGGACATCACGGTGCGACTATATTTTGCTTTTAAAGAACCAACACCCTGCATGGTAGGGCTCTCTGTGACTGATTTCGAATGACCCCGTTACAGATTACACTTGCAAACTTAGGAAACACTACACTCGAGTTCTATTCCAGTTGAAGCTCATTCATCAGTCCGCCTGAGACCGGAACACCGGACATCTGACACGGAAAGTATGTGACTTAATCACACTGAAGCTGATCAGAAACAACTACTCAAGCAAGTGCATATTTCTGCAATGACAATCAGTTAGTTCATTTGGTTTGACAGCAACGAAGCAAGGGGACACATCGTATTTGTATGTTAAACCCAAACGTAAGTTGCCCACCAAATGGGCCCGTTTATAAGGGACTTGATCAACACACCTCATTAAATCTGATATACTTGTTCAACGCAAAGATTACCGAGATAAAAGAACAGTGCTTGTTATTTTTTGGCTATGTCTTCTTTCGTTTTGGCAACCTGTGAGTTGAAATGGTGTATAAATCACTCTGATTCTTAGTCAGTTTATTCAATTGCCAGTTTAGAAAATGAATGACTAGCAAATCTGGAAGGGCAGTAGTTAGGAGCAAAAAAATTAAATTTCCGCAGTGCATTTCAGCTTACGTTTGCTGCTTCACATATGCTCCCTAACAGTGTGTACAAATATCCAAACACGCCGAATGTGTTGAACAAAAAGTATTAGTTCACTTGAAGTTCGGAGTGGATAGATGTACCAAACACCACGACAATTTTCGCCAATGTTTCTTTTGAACCTCCAGCACAATCGTGACAACGTCAAGTCATAACGTGAGCTACGTCCAGTGGATGGTGAAACCAACATTGACTATGAACAAAAAACATTTCGCCTGATTAACACCTCATCTTAAAATCAGACAGTAATCATTATTGAGGGCAGTCACTCCCGTTCATCGTCCTGTCAGATCACCTGTTGTCATGTTTTTTACGCCGATCGTGGTAGCTGGTGAGAACCGATTGTATATATAAGTTTTGTTGCTAGGTTATCGGGTCTGGTCACTATTGTCCATTTTATGACTGAATTAGACGACAAAAGACAGGCAGAAGTATCGTTTGGGTTTGGCCTCGACGCTGATATCCATGTGACCATGTATACGGTCAGTGACAAACCAGACAATAGGGCCACACACAATGATCGGGTCAGTTGACTAAAAGACCAAGCGACCCTGATTCGAACCTATGGTACACGTGAAAAACGACTGCATCCCAGACATGCTAGTTGCCAAGATCAGTATTCAGTGCAAACACTTGGCTCTGCTCCTGTCATGAATATGAGAACAGTCACTACTGGGCAGTTCGCTAGATAAATAACTCAACAGGTGCTTGCTTTGCAGGGACCGACCAAACAGCAGTACCTATTGACACGAACGGTGTTCGCTCATTTAACTTTGTCCACAGTCTAAACAATTTGAACTAGCACCACAGATAGGTTGACGGACTAGCTGACCGACGGAAGGACCAACTGACCCAATCAAATATGGCTAGTTGAGACACGTCATACGGGGCAGCGATGCAGCATGAACACCAACCATATACCGTGATGGCAGGTGACTTTGATGAGGCTGTGGGACAGTTTGATGGCACAGATCGTGATGTTCCGTGGGCTCTGAATGGAGTGTCACGGTGAAGACAATTAGTCTCATAGATGATCTTGACAGAAGACACCTGATTTTCGTGTGATTTTCTCTTCTTCTGCTATAGTATTTCTCTGAGTCTCCGAGTCAAGAACGTAGCAGACTCACAGAATATAGCCAATTGTGGCGGAAGTCACTGCATATTGCATAGAGTTCCTCATTGCTTACTATACTGGTATTTGGGCGAGTTATCGAAAATAGCTTATTTCATTTGCTGGGTTTTGTTGTCAGTAGGTATAGGCTTTTCCAAGTGCCTCTCACTCATAATAATTTGTTATTTGTGACCGACAAAGCACACTGCAGCAGTTATTTTGTAGCATGCCCGACACGGTCTGAGGAAAAACTTTCCGGATACACAAAATGTTTTATTTGTTACTTAAAAATAAGCATTACATTTTCATGAAGTATTCTCCACGAGCTTTCATGCACAGTTTCATGCGCTCAAACCATCTGGTGAAATAGCTCGACCATTATGAAGCGAGTAACCCTGCGATCAGTTCAAGGAAGGCACCCACTGCAGCCGCTGGCGATCCTTATCGGATTCTACGCGTCATATGCCGGACAAAATGTCACATAGAGCCATATCTGGATGGTAGGATGAGTGACCAACCTCCTTGATGCGTCCCCTAAACAGAAAATCGCCGGAGACACGGGATCCGTGTGCATGTGCGCTTTCATCGTGCAGTAAGGTCCCTCGTACTGATGTCCTTGAACAAAGCCTGACAACAGCCTCTAGCACTTTCAGCGAACAGTGGATGGCTGTGTCGATCGTAGCCTACGGGATAAATCCGACCACGAAGCGATGCGTCGCAGTTTCTGAAAACCGAACCAAAGACCAATTGTGCAGACTAATCTTGCGTTTCAGACAGAAGCTGTATGACATCAAGGTTACAAACGGGCCGCTGGTGGAAAATGTATAACCAATATAATTCCTTTGTACATATTACTTAATCTCATTGATTTTCATTAATAAAAGCCGCTACTTCTGTGGGTTTTTTCTGCCTCTCGGTGACGGGAGATTCCAGCGTGCGGCTGCTATGGCGATTCTGTCTTCCACTTGCGACCGTGGTTTTTGGTCTGTTATTCGCATCTACTTCGATTACTACAGTGGCGTATCAACCTCTGCTGACTGTGCTTTGCCATACATGCGGTACAGTAGCCACATGACCGGTTTTGACCATGAACATAACCACCATCTTCTTTGCCACGCTGTGCTCGCGTCGGAAATTCTGAGATAGCGCCCCACCAATCGGCTTCAACTGAGCCGATTGTTGCTTAGTCTCTGGGTCGAAATTGTACAACCAGGTCTCATCACCCGTGATGATCTTCCAAACGGCATTGAAACGTCCACCATCAATCCTGAAAAGCATGGTGTGTCACCATTTTACCCGAACTGGTTTCTGTTTCTTACGGAGCTGATGGGGTAATCAGCGTGCGCAAACTTTCTGAGACTGAGCTTCTCATGTAGGATGGTGCGGATTGATCCCACTGAGATCCCGATGGCCTTCGCCAGCTATACCGCTGTCATCCGCTCATCCTCTTGTACCATCGCTTGCACAGCAGCAATGCTGTTCGCCTTGTTGGCCTCCACGGGTCGACCAAACCGAGTGTCATCATCTAGGGACCGCCTGCCACGCTTGAATTCCGTAAACCACTCAAACACAGTGCTTCTTGAAGGAACATCATCCCCAACGACAGCTCGTAAACCATCAACATTCTGCCGCTGCATTAAACCACATTTACTGTCGTAGAAAGTCATCACCCTCGAAGTCATCGACTGAGTTCCATCCTCACAGTTCGAGTATAACGACCCTTATGACCGGTGAGCTCTGCTGTCGGTATTTAGTTCTGAGTTGCAATCCCTGAACAATACTCACAGCTCACGTTTTGTCCGAATATACCATCCTTACATATTGTCAGAAAACACAGAGTAGCTCATTTGCGGTGATGCTTCTACAGGCGAATACATCACAATTTATATCCAACTGTTCAGAAGGGAGAGGGGAGAGAAAGAAATCAAGACACGTTAGAAGAGCACTAATCAACATTCCAGTTCCATTGCCGGATATTGTTCACGCTTTGGTCTTCACGCATGCGTATTGGTGAGAGCCGTTAGGGGGGGGTGGCTGTTGTGTGTGGTGTTGGCCACTGAAGGCTGAGAGTTCTTACGAATAATTTTTGCCAGCACAGGGGGGGGATTATGTAGGTGGTTTCCGATCGCTTCCGCTATGGCCGAAACGCGACTCCTAATTCTCTTAGATTGACAGCTGCGAACTAAGTAGAGGGGTCGAAACGCCTCGGCCACATTAACCACGTAGTTTGATTCCATCAGGTGTGAAACCATCTAGCTGTTAATGGTCTTAATTATTCCACTATTCAGCCAGGGCGAGTGGTGCTCCTGGACTCGTTCAGATAAACGTTTGCTCGTGTGGCCGATATACGTTGTCCCACAATTCACGTTTTCCTTTCCCAGTGATCTGCACGTGTAGTACGCATCCGGAAAGTTCTAGCTCAACCCTCGTAGGTTTACAACGAGAATAATTTTTCGACCTTAAATGGTATTCCATTGCATCACAGAGACGGAATTCATTCTGAGCTCACTTGGATCCCTATCCGCAGAGTCAAGAAACATTAAGAACTACTAATTTCTATATTGCCAGTTAGTTCACGACAGCAGCAGTGAAATGAGGAGTCGAAAGTGAGTTCATGTTTAATTAGGACGTATCTTCCGTTGTCATTGAGAAGAATAATTTAGCAATGATCCAAGTAGATCTTGGATAGGTAACAGGTATTGCTCTCAACAGTTGTATATCTGATCATAAGGATTCATCCAGATTCAACTTTCTCAGTGTTTAACACTCAAGAATTACCTTAAAGGGTTACACAACAAGATCCTGAAAAAATGTAGGAAGTTTACTAATTAGGACAATGATACCGGGCTTACGAAAGCAACGTACAATTATCCAAGTACTGTTGTTACAATGGTTAAGTAATAGTAATGTAATTTAAATGATGCATAGCTGGCCGATTGGTCTCTTTTTAAAGATTCCCAGATCAGTGACTTTTTATTCGTCACACATTCACACCGGTTTTGTTCATTCCAGTTTAACATCTTTCCTAACGCGCATAGTTCAAACACCGGTAACACTGCGTACATCCATTAATTTCTTATAACCCGAGAGCTCATTGTCGACCTGCTGAACATATTATACACACACAGCCAACACCAGCTTAAGCGATTTATTTATCGATGCATTTATGTTTCCCCAATGCAATTTATAATCAATTTATCCGCATTTATGTTTTTTCTCATGCATTGATGAAAATATTTTGTTATGAGTCTGTCTGTAAGAATCTGTTGAATTGGTCACTCACTGAGCACCGAAGAGTAGCATCATCAACAAAGGAGATGCGCGTTACGTTTATCCTCCTTGTCAGTTAACTGGATAACCCAAAGCTAATCGATTGGTCTTCTACACACCTCGTTGCTTTCAATCACTTTACGCTTTATTTTCTCTGCACTGTTGGGAACCATGTCTTTAATTTTCTTGCGACTTGCTCACCGCTGTTCACAAACCATACAAGACATGACTGAGGAAAACTTGAGCGTTATTCCTTAATTGCTCTGGGCCGAGGAATTCTACATTGCTTTTAGAGTGAGAATACTCACCATTTAATACGATTATCTATCTCTCAACCCTAAGATGCCACAACTACACTCTACCTCCCCTGTGACCCTTTTTGGTGTATTGCAAAGGATATCTGTGTGACATCCAGAAAACTCAGGCTTTAGTCCATTTACTTTTGGTTACCCAGAGATTGCACCATCCATCACATGGCCTTTCGAAAAGCTTGCCCATTCGATACCGCTTTACCCTGTCAACCGCCACATTTTCAAAATATCCAACCAAGAAGGACAACAACAAAAGCAATGAATAAAATGAAACCCTCTAGCTACATGCTGTTACAAAAATGAAAGTCAAATTGGACATTGTTGTGATAAAAAATAGTAAGGGCTAAAACTTTGGACAAGATTAAGCACTTCTATTTATTCTTGGGCCCATGAAATGAAATTGTGGTGATTGAACTAATCAAACAAGTGTACCAGGCACATTGTGAGAGGTTTGGCCGTCTGTTGATGATGGAATTATGACGCAGATCCAGCGCATCAATATTTGGGATAGGAAATTCGGTAGCAGAATGCATGAGAGCACCCACCGTAGTGGGAATTATTTCGTTTATGATAAACCGATAGACCGAGATCATTCCCCCCACACACACACTTAATTGATTCCTTTTTGGATTCACTGTCAATGATGCGTGAAATGTGAAGTGGCTGTGTTGTGTGCATGTTTATGTGTGTGTTCGTATTTGTAGTACATGGTGGGCCAAACTTGGGGTGGATGTCTGTTCTTGCAAAGAATGCCAGTGAACTGGTGCAAAATTTTGGGTGTTCTCCCCCCCCCCCACACACACGCACTCGCACAATGACAAACTCGCGCGTGCACCCAAAAGTAGCGGGAATCGAACATTCCCGCGTAGCATTGCTCGGTTGAATTTCAATGAAACGGACACCAGGTGTGTGCACTTCTCTCGACTCTGTTCAGGCAAAATTCGTTACCCTTTTCCGGTTTGTTTCATGTACTCGACAAGTCACTTTAAACAATCGGTTGCCTACCACGCGCTGGGCTGAAGTGTTTTCCCGTTCCGTATGTTTGTGTGCGCGCTTGCGTGAGATCGCATATACTTGAGCACCAATCTCGATCACCTACCCGCCTACGTCCGGTAGCCGGAGATGATCGATTCTGTTTTGGACCAAGTGATGGTGTGATATAGTGAACTACAATCAAAGCTGACAATTTCGTCCATCATGGTCCGTAAGCCATCAACTGTAACCATTGAGTTGTCCGGGTAAAACGCATTGTTCGTGTCGCATCGTGAATGTGCCGTGTAAGTATGCTGTCTGAGGGCTTGGGTATGTTCTGGATTGAAAGAATCGGTACACATCAGATTACCCATCACAATTATTAGAGCAAACACAAGCCGTTCGCGAACTAAGAGCAAAAATAAGTGCGCACTGACAACCCTTGATGGCGTATTGAAAACCAAAGATTCCGTATCCAGCTTCCACTGCACTTATTACAATTTTGGGGTATTATTCACATATCGTTGATCCTGGACGATATTCCTCTTGAACAATGCGTGATATGAACAACCTTTCAGGAAGAAAGCAATCATCCCACCCACAGTGGAATTTTTGGGCTCAATACTAATGGACTTCTGTAATGGATTCCAAATCAAGACAGACTGAGTTAGCAACCATGGGGAATGTAAAAATATTAAGCGAGCTAGGTGTCACCGTCACACGCGCCTACACACCTTAGTATGTTCGGATTGGAATACCGTCATGAGGCCCATTCTAACCTCACTCGATGTCACGTGCTGCGGACAGACTGTGTGGGGGAAAAAGAGATTTGGTTAAAATTTAGCGGAACGTTTTTATTGGGCGTAAGGCTCTGTAACGAGAGCCGGATGCAAAACCAGGTCGATAGCATGGTAGAGTAGCATGCCACACGGTGGGATTCCATTAAATGCACCGGATACGTCAAACTGAAGGGTCCTAACAAATATAAAGCAGTCGTACTTGTCTCCAAGACTGGTCCGTTGAAAGCAATACCTGATGACAAGCCCATTTTTCAAATAATTTACGATAAACCTTGTTGTTGGCTTCGTCGTCGTCCCATAGAAAATCGAAGAACTTACAAATCCTTTTCTTTCGGCCATTTCCCAAACACATTCCCTGTTCTCTCGCCTGATGATTAACCACTTTTGAATTTACTGCCAGTTTTCATTGACTCATAAAACCATGCAAGATAATTTGCCGACACTTTCTCCCCAAGATTTATCATTCCCTCATTCTCCTACACAAGCAGCGAGTTTATAGTTTTTCACGATCCTTCTTTCCAATAGACGGGATAGTCTATGTACTCTAGTGTCTATTTCGTGCACTTGTTCGAATCTCATGAAGTTAGTGTAAGTAAAAATCTTCGTTGATCACATGACGACATCATATCCGAAAGACGGAATATCCGAAGGTGTGATGAAAAATTCAGGTTTTTATCTGCTGTTCAAATTCGCAAGCTCTGACATTCACGCACCTCAACCAGTTGTTTCTACCGTGATATTTATGTGCTACTTTATTGTGCTTTGGTCAGTTTTCTTGCTCATTTAAACAAGATTAAAAATGTCAGGGAATAATTTGCCTCATTTTTGTCAATTTCCGCTAATAATGGAATTGTAGACTTTGTAAACACCTCATTACGTATCGTTTTGCAAAAAGGATTCATCCAAACTCTAACCGCCCTTTTGAACACAGAATTAACTTAAGGTAATCCAGTTCCGTAAAGGCATCATGACCAGTGTGTGAACTATGGGTAAACACTGGCCTAGTACATCTGGTGGCT